ATGTCTTCTTCTTCCTCAGTGCCACCATGTTGATCACTCACATTTGGTACATTGCCCTTCTCTTCACCCAAATCAATACTTATCTCTACCTATCTAACAGTGTTCCCTCCTCTCCCCCACCTCCCACCCCTGACAGCCAGCAAAGAATATTTCCTTCCATATATAAACCTTTCCTCACTTTTACAATAATGAACTAACACAATATTTGTCCTTCTGTCATTGATTTATTTCACTCAGTTTAATGTCCTCTAAGTTCATCGATGGTATGTGGTGTTTTGCAGATTCTACATTATTCTTTAGGGTTGTATAGTATTCCATTGTGTGTATGTACCATAGTTTGGTTATCCATTCCTCAGTTGATGGATACTTATGTTGTTTCCATCATTTTGCTATTGTAAATAGTGCTGCAGTGAAACATGGGCGTGCATATGTCTGTTCTTGTCATGGCTCTCACTTCTTTAGGATACATATCTCAAAATGGAATGGCTGGGTCAAATGGTATTTCTAATACCAACTTTTGAAGAATTGCCATACTGCTTTCCACAGTGGTTGTATCATTTTACAGTCCCACCAACAGTGTATGAGAGTCCCAATCTCTCCGCCTCCTCGCCAGTATTTGTTATTTTCTGTCTTGTTGAACTTTGCTACTAATGCTGGTATCTCATTGTTATTTTGATTTGCATCTCTCTAACAGCTAGTGATCGTATTTCTTCATATGTTTGTTGGCTGCCTGAATATCCTCCTTAGTTAAGTGTCTATTCATGTCTTCTGCCCATTTTTTAATTGGATTCTTCATCTTTTTGTTATTGAGGTATTGGAGTTTTCTATAAATTCTAGAGATAAGTCCCTTCTCATTGACTTATATGTCATTGCCAAATATTTTTTCCCAGTCTGTAGGTTCTCTTTTGGAGAATTCTTTGGAAGCACATAAAAATTTAATTTTAGAAGGTCCCATTTGTCTAATTTCTTTTCTGCTGTAAGTGCATTTTGGGTTATGCTTGATAGTCTATTTGTGCTATATATTAGGGCCCCTAAATTTTGCCCTTAGTTTTTCCTTGAGAAACTCTATAGTTTTCGGTTTCACATTTAAGTCTTTGATCCATCTGGAGATAGTTTTTGTATATGGTGTGAGGTACAGATCTTGTTTCATTTTCTGCAAATGGATATTCAGTTTTGCTAGCACTATTTATTAAACAAACATTCTCTTCCCCATTTAATGGATTTAGACCCTTTGTCAAAGATCAGCTGACCATAGGTGGATGGTTCTATTTCTGGGTTCTCAATTCTATTCCATTGGTCTATGTGTCTGTCATTGTTCCAATACCAGGCAGTTTTGCCTACTGTGGCTGTATAGTAGGTTTTGAGATCCAGCTGTGTGAGACCTCCTACTTTGTTCTTCTTCAGTAGTGCTTTGCTTATCTGAGGTCTCTTTCCTTTCCATATAAAGTTAGTGATTGGTTTTTCTACATCCGCTTTATTATTTCTTACAATTGCACATGAATCTATAACTATTTCAGTTAAGAAGATGGTTGGATTTTATTTGTTACTAAAAGCGTATGTGAACTCCTTCACCTTGTTTTTATCTGAGAAAATAAAACATTAACAAAAGCAATACCTACTTGTCACTCTAAATAATCCCTGCCACCTCTGGACATCTATCCTCCAAAATACCCCTCTTTTGATGAGGTGTCCTTTGTTCCCATTGTATATGCTGAATGCAAATGACCATGGCTACTTACAAACTATTAAAATAGACAGCAAGAGATATTCCTAGGCTGCCCAACTCTATTGGGCAGTGCTATGCACTTTACACAGATTTTCTCATTGAACTGTCAGAGGTGCTGTTCTTACCTATATCTTTTGCACATGCATGCAGAGCAGTGATATTTGAAAATAACTCATATGCTTCTTCTCTTTACCATCCTAGGGGCCATCTCCTTTATTTCAAAGGCCATTCAGACATGAGCTGTATTCTTAGGGATCTACTGCAGCTTACTCCATTTGCTCCTGAATTGGAGATGACAACATGGGGAGTAACATAAGATGGTAGTAATAGGTTGAAGTGCAGAAGTGCTTTTACTTTAAATAGTAGTTACCTAAGAGTCAGGAGCCTAAAGAAAGACCTAATAGAATGGTGTTATATAAGAGTATGTTGCTGTTGTTAAGTGCCATTGAGTTGATTCTGACCCAGAGTGACCCTATAGGTCAAAATAGAACTGCCCCATAGGAGCTCTGGTAGCATAGTGGCTAAAGCACTTGACTGCTAACCAGAAGGCTGGTGGTTCAAACCCACCAGCCACTCCTCAGAGGGAAGGTTGGGCAATCCTACTTCCGTACTGATACTGCCTCAGAAACCCAAGGAGGGGTCGCTATGAGTCGGGGCTGACTCGACGGCACACAACAACAACAACAACAACATAGGGTTTCCTAGACTGAAATCTCTTTCTCTCTCTCTTTTTAAAATTTTTATTGTGATTTGGGTGAATGATGTCAGAGCAAATTCATTTGTCATAGAGCAGGTCATGTACATTTTGTTTCATAGCATTGAGTGCAGTCCCCACAATGTAACAGCTCCCTTTTCACTCCTCCCTGTAGTTACCTCTTCCTAGTCATCTTTATTCTTTCCTATGCATTCCTGCTCCCTGAGCTATCTCCCTGTGCAGATACTGCCCTTCTGATCTTCCACAATTGATTGTTCTAAGGAATATACCTAGTTGGTATAAATGTATACCCTATATGCCTGTCTGTTGTTTGGCTGGAAGCCATGGGGGTGAGTTCAATTCCAGGCCTAAAGAGTAGCTTGGGGCCATAGTCCCGGGGTTTCACCAGGCTCTATCAGATCAGTAAGCCTGGTCTTTTTCTATGATTTTGAGTTTTGTTCCACATTTTTCTCCCACTCACTCCAGGATCTCCTGCAACCTTTCCAAGTGGTTGACAATGGTAGCTGGGTACCATCTACTAGGCTGAACTCTTAACAGGAATAGATTGCCAGGTCTTTTCTCCTCAAGAACCAATGGAGGATTTGAACTTCTGACCTTTCAGTTAGCAGCCGAACACTTAAACATTTTAGTGAAAATATTTGATATTTAGACGTCTCTGGGGAAAGATGATTATTTGTTACAACTGTTTTATTTAGTTGGGAATATTTCTGATAATTGAACTTGAGTATGAATGTTCTTTTTAAGGAGAAAACCTTCTCTTGTTTTAGGTTAATACAAAAGCTGAACCAACAGACAATATTACAAGTTTCCTGTGGCAACTGGCATTGCTTGGCTCTTGCAGCTGGTAAGGTAGCATTAAATATATGCTAATGCTATGTTAACTTTGAGGAGCTCTGGTAGCATAGTGCCTAAGGCACTTGACTGCTAACCACAAGGCTGGTGGTTCAAACCCACCAGCCACTTCTCAGAAGGAAGGTTGGGCAATGTACTTCCGTAGTGATACCGCCTTGGAAACCCACGGAGGGGTCACTATGAGTCAGGGCCGACTTGACAGCATGTAACAACAACAACAACATGTTAAGTTTGAAAGTATTTCTCTGTGTTTTTGTGTGATATTACCTAACTAGAAACCATTAACTGGTTAGGGGCTATGTACTCCTGTTCAGCAGTGGCAGTTCTCAGACAGCATTTGGCATAGCTAATACTTTTCTCAAGGTATGGGTGATAGAGGAAGTGGTCATACTGCTGTTCCATTCTAACCTCTCTGTCAAGGGAAGATGAGTAGGAGGCAGAACTTTACTTAGGTTGTTTTTGAGAGTATAGATTGCTTTTTCTTAGCTACATCACACTGTCAAGCTATATTTCACCTGGAAGCGCCCAAATAAATAGAAAAGGAGGAGTTATAGAAACCTAACCCAGCAAATAATACAGTACGTTAGCACACATTTGAGGGTAAATCTACACGTATACTCTGTCTGATGCTCTGCAATGTGGTCCAGGTACTCATAGCTGGACTTCCTCAAGTCCTGAATCTCATGGTTATGATGTGATTAGAACCAATTCAGCTTGGTTAGTGCATCCGAGCCTAGTATTGGCCTGTTCAAAACTAACTTGACTTAAACATTGAAAATTTTCTTAGCATAAATGTTCATAGTCTTTGAGAAGGCAGTAAGATACAGCTTATCTCCATTGTCATGACAGGTTTTGACCATCTTAACAGCGTGAAATGTATCCGTTCCCTTGTTCTGAGGTCGAGTCCAAGGGGGAGCAACTAACAAATGACCCTACTGGGGAGCTATAATGTTCTAACTAGATTATTTTTATGGATGTAACTTGCATCATTTCTGGTAATAACAAGTATTCTATTCTTATTTCAGATGGGCAGTTCTTCACATGGGGAAAGAACAGCCATGGTCAGCTGGGTCTCGGGAAGGAGTTCCCCTCCCAAGCCAGCCCACAGAGGGTGAGGTCCCTTGAGGGGATCCCGCTGGCTCAGGTGGCTGCAGGAGGGGCTCACAGCTTTGCCCTGTCTCTCTCAGGAGCTGTTTTTGGCTGGGGGATGAATAATGCAGGGCAACTAGGACTCAGTGATGAAAAAGGTAGGTGAACTCTTTGTATGCCCTTTCTTGGTTCAGAAGCACATTTGTTTAGCACCTATTTATTATCTACTATGTGTCCACCCTGTGTTAGGTACTGAGAGTGCAGCAGTGAACAGAACAGATGACCTCCTTAGCTTCATGAAGATTGTATTTTAGTGAGAAGAGGCAGACAACAAATAAATACATATATCAGAGGATTTAAGAATAAAACATCTGTTTTACATAAGGTAGTTAAGGAGGGCCTTATTGATAAAAAGATGTTTAAGCAGAGACCTGTAGGAAGTCAGGTAGAAAATTAGCCATGTAGGTATCTAGGGGAAAAAATATTCCAGTCGAAGGAACCAGGATGTGCAAAGGCTCTTCTGTGGGAGGATGGGGTGCTCACAAGTGCAGCAGGCAAGGGGAAGAATAGCAGAAATGGAGGTCAGAGGGGTAGTGTAGGCCCAGTTTGGGAGGGCCCTGTAGGGTAGGGTAATGTTTTTGGCTGCTCCTTTCAGTGAGAAGGAAGGACATTGAGGGTTAGGAGAGTAGTGACCCGATTTTGGATGGAGTGAGAATAAAGTCAGATTTTGAATATATTTTGAAGATGGAGCCACGTGGATTTGCTCATTGTTGAGGTGTAAAGAGGAGACGGAAGGATGAAGTTACCATTTATTAAAATGGGAAAGACTGTCTTTGCAGTGAGAAGGGCGGAGTTGGAAGATGTGAGGAAACCATGAGTCAGGTTTTAGGTATATTAATGTGACATGTCTGTTAGATAAGTAAGTGTAGATACAGGCAGGAAGGTGAATATGTGAGTCAGGAATCCAAAATGCTCTTCTTCCCCAAATTGAAATGGTTGTGTATATTTTGTCTGAAAGGCAAATGGTGGTGACATTGTTATGTTTTTATTTATTTATCTTATTCTAGATCGAGAGTCTCCTTGTCATGTGAAGCTCTTACGAACACAAAAAGTCGTCTATATTAGTTGTGGAGAAGAACACACAGCAGTCCTCACAAAAGTAAGGGCTTAGAGTGCTGTGATTCGTTTGGTAGTGCTTTGGTGCTGAGTATGACGTGGGTGATCATCACTCCTGATTATTTTGGATAGTATCTTTTAGAAAGAGTCATGATGGTGTGTAATTACAGTACTGTGTAAAGCTTCAGTTGGTTTTCCATAGGACTAGGAAAAGACTTCTTTTTTATGTGCTTTTGCTTACATCTTTGGTAAAATCTTATGGATTCTCTTAGTAACATTTAAAATAATCCAGTGTAAATAATCTTAAAAGCTAGTATATAAAACTTCATTCTGTTTTCATTTAAAATGAGCCATTTAAATATCTAAAAAGAAATGGCAATACAATATTTTATAATTATCACCCTTTTGATTCTAAATATACTTAAATCTAAAGAGACTAGAAATGTATTTTCATATTGAATACTACTATAGCTTCACTTTAATAAAATGTCTCATCATTTGTTTAAGTATGGCTGTGGGGGAAAAAAAATCTACTTACCAAGGACTTTGTGGAGCACTTTGTGCAAAATCACCTCGTTTCACCTATCTTCTTGCCGCCCCCCCCCTTTTTTTTTGTTTTGCCTCTTAACATCATTGTACTCTCAAACAATTTTTAAAATTTACAGATGGAACACAATTCTTTGAACATTGTGTCTTTGCTCCATAAAGTTGTAAGCTTAAGTTTCTTTTATTTTCTATTTGAGTGTTCCAAGAAATGACTTGGGCTAAGTATCAAGGGAACATAGTGTTCTTGGACAGACCATTGTGATATGAATTCTGAATACAGAAAGTTTTAGAGGAGTGTTCCAACTCTGAGTTACAGCGAGTCATGTGGTATTTGTTCCTTGTTAGAATGGAGGTGTGTTTACCTTTGGTGCTGGTTCCTGTGGGCAACTTGGACATGACTCCATGAATGATGAGGTTAATCCCAGAAGAGTTCTAGAGCTGATGGGCAGTGAAGTAACTCAGATTGCTTGTGGCAGGTGAGTGCTTCTGAGAGTTTCCTGGTGTCTACTAAGACCCAGAAATGGATCTTGTCTTTGTAGTAATGGAGAATGTAGTTAGATCTGTTGTTGTGTACCATTGAGTTGATTCTGACTCATAGAGACTGTATAGGACAGAACAGAACTGTCTCATAGCATTTCCAAGCCTTCATGGAAGCAGATGGCCACATCTTTTTTCTCACCAAGGAGCTAGTGAGCTTACTAGCCTCACTAGCTAACTCCCAACCTTTCACTTAGCAGCCAAGTGCTTAATTGCTGTGCCACCAGGGTTGCTTAATCACCATCATTTTAAGAAACCCTTGCTGCCTTTACACCAATGGTTAAAGCTTGGAAAAAATATCAAATCTGAGTAGGGTATGGCAAGAAAGGGTTTTAGATCAACAAAGTAATATGAAACATTAGGCTTCTTTTGGGATAGAGAACAACAGGATATGGGAAGATGAGGAAAGGAAGATGAGAGTGCCCCAAAGAACTTCTCAGAAATTTTTCTTGAGTCTACTCTGCTTCTTCCTTCTTATTCCACAGGCCAAATGGCAGCAGATCATTCAGCTCTTTCCAAGTCTCACCATCCTCCTCATAACCTAGAGAACAGTGTTCTGGAGAGCCAGCCACTGCCATAAGAGCCAGTCAATTCACATATAAACCTGGGGGAGGCTTTATCAGGGCACACCTAAGAATTACTGTGCTCATGTGGAAACTAAAAGTCAGAGTCTGAGCATGTATCTAGATCATTAGAAACTATGCTGAAGAGTTAATTTAAATTCTTTTTCCTTAGACAACACACTTTAGCCTTTGTGCCTTCTTCTGGACTCATCTATGCATTTGGTTGTGGAGCAAGAGGCCAGTTGGGAACTGGACACATGTGTAACGTTAAATGCCCATCTCCTGTGAAGGGTTACTGGGCCGCCCATAGTGGCCAGCTTTCAGCCAGAGCTGGTAAGAGGATTTTAATTTGAATTTAACAGTATTTGAAACCGATAAAAACAACTGTCGATACAAAAGTATATCTGTTATTTACCTTGAGATCTTTGGAGGCAATGAATATGAAGAATTTTTTAAAACATTAATCATTAAATATTTAAGTACTTACTATACATGAAGCTCTATAGTCAAGATCCTAGAGCATAAATAAAGCAGAAGTTATTATTTTGGACATTAGTGATTAGTGTTACATAAATTTTACTTTTATTGTTATTCAAATTATTATTACTGTTACCCATAATTATTGAGTGCTTAATTAAATTACAGTCAAAATGACCTTAAGAACAAGTGATTGTTATCCCCCATTAGAGATGAGGAAACTGAATGTGAAGGAGGTTAAGTAACTTGACCAAGATCACATATAACTGGTGGAAATAGGATTTGAACTTACATCTGTCTCATTAAAGGGCAGCTTGATAAGGTAAAGAAAAATATTATATTGAAATGTGCAATGAACTGGAGTTACAAAACCAAAAGGGAAGAAATACGTTCAGTATTTCTTAAGGGGAAAGAACTAAAGAAAAAATTTAAGCCTCAAATTGCAATATTGAAGAATCACAGGTCAAAATGTTGACTGATACAAGAAGCATCAAAAGAAGATGGAAGGAATATACAGCATCACTGTAACAAAGAGAATTGGTCAACTTACAGCCATTTCAGGAGGTAGCATGTGATCAAGAACAGATGGTACTATAGGAAAGTGTCCAAACTGTAATGAAGGCATTGGTGAAAAACAAAGCTCCAGGAATACCAATTGAGATGTTTCAGGAAACGAATGCAGTGCTGAAAGTGCTCATTCATTTCTGTAAAGTAATTTGGAAGATAACTACCTGGCCAGCTGACTGGAAGAAATCCAATATTTGCCTGTTTCAAAGAAAGGTGATCCAAGAGAATGTGGAAATTATTAAACAGTACCATTAATGTCACACACAAGTAAAATTTTGCTGATGATAATTCAGAAACGATTGCGGCAGTACGTTGACAGAGAACTGCAGAAATTCAGGCTGGATTCAGAGACGACGTGGAACAAGGAATATCATTGTTGATGCCAGATAGATCCTGGGTGAAAGCAGAATACCAAAAAGATGTTTACCTGTGTTTTATTAACAGTGCAAAGACATTCAACTGTGGATAACGTTGTGCAGAACGCAAATTCCAGAACACTTTATTGCGCTCACATGGAACCTGTACGTTGACCAAGAGGCAGTTGTTCAAACAGAACAAGGGGATACTGCATGGCTTAAAATCAGGAAGGGTGTGCATCAGGGAAGTATACTTTCATTATACTTACTCAATCTGTATGCTGACCAAATAATCTAGAAGATGGACTATATGAAGAAGAATGTAGCATCAGAATTGACCAAGACTTATTAACAGTCTGCAATACGCAGATAACACAACTTTGCTGAAAGCAAAGAAGATTGTAAGCATTTACTGATGAAGATCAAGACCTCCAGCCTTCAGTACGTATTACACCACAACATAAAGAAAACAAAAATCTTCACAACTGGACGAATAAGTCCAATCATTTAATAAACGGAGAAAAGATTGACATTTTCAAGGATTTCACTTTACTTGGATCCCCAATTAATATTCATGGAAGCAGCAGTCAAGAAATAAAACAGTCTATTTGCATTGGGCAACTCTGCTGCAAAAGACATTTTTATGGTGTTTAAAGCCAATGATGTCACCTTGACTAAAGTGTGCCTGACCCCACTCTCTCTCTCACTGCCGTTGAGTCAGCTCCAACTCATAGCAACCCCTCCTTGAGTTTCCGAGGCAGTATCAATACAGAAATAGATTGCCCAGCCTTCCTTCTGAGGAGTGACCGGTGGGTTTGAACCACCAGCCTTCTGGTTAGCCTTAGGCACTACGCCACCAGAGCTCCCAAGCCATTGTTTCTCAGTCACCTCCTGGGCATGAGAACACTAGACAATAAATGAGGAAGACTGAAGAAGTGATATCTTTGGCTTTTGGTGTTGGAAAAGAATATTGAATGGACGGCCAGAATGTTCCACACCCCCCTCACTCCCCTGGTGATGACACTAAAAGCAAGGATGGGAAGACTTCTTTTCATGTATTTTGCACATGTTCTCAGGAGTACTTGGAAAGGACACCATGCTTGGTATAGTAGAGGGTCAGTGAAAAAGGGGAAGACCCTCAATGAGATGGATTGATGTAGTGGTTGCAACAATGGGATCAAATGAAGCAACGATTGTGAAGATGTTGCAGATCCAGGAAGCATTTTGTTCTGTTGAACATGGGGTCACTTTGAATCAGAACTGACTTGACAGCACCTAACAACAACTGTCCTATTCTAAAGCTCACATTCTTAATGCAAGTACTTACGCTTGTACTCCAATTTGCTATTGTGGTTTTGGTCATAACATGATGTGATTTTTTAAGCCATTTTATTTTCCTTCTCTTAAATAATTGTTAAATAACACAGTATCCATTTCATTGGAAATTAAAGTAAGGCTGTCTTTAAAGTGGTACATTTATAGTTTGATAAGGATTTTTGTTTTTCTTAAGCAATAACAATTACGTAGTGAATTATGTGAAACTTAAGGATAGGAACTGAATCTTTTCTTTATAGTGTATTATATACAATTTGAGGACAGGGACTGAGTCTTTTCTGTGACATATAGCATAGAGTATGGTACAAACTCGTAATTGAGTAAGTAATTAAGGAATAAATATATGAACTTCTGAAAATAAGGTGGAAGTTAGTATAATATAAACAAGGTTTTGTTATGGTGATTTTCTTGGAAACAAACATGGCTTGGTATTGTCTTCTCTGTCATTTGTAAATTTTCTTTTCTCCTAAGAATTGCAGTCACATAGAAAATATGTGTATTTAGGAATATATTGTTGTTAGGTGCTGTCAAGTCAGTTCCAACTCAAAGTGACCTATATACAACAGAACAAAATACTGCTGGTGCTGGGCCACCTTACAGTTGTTGTTATGTTTGAGCCCATTGTTGCAGCCATGTTTATCTGTCTCATTGAGGGTCATCTTCTTTGCTGAGCCTCTGCTTTACCAAGCATCATGTCCTTCTCCAAGGACTGGCGCCTCCTGATGACATGTCCAAAGTGAGACGATGTCTTGCCATATTCACTTGTAAGGAGTATTCTACTTGTGCTTCTTTCAAGACAGATTGGTTTGTTCTTCTGGCAGTCCATAGGATAGTCAATATTCTTTGCCAGTACCCGAGTTCAAATGCATCAATTCTTTGTTCTTCCTTATTTATTTTCCAGCTTTTACATACATATGAAGTGATTAAAAAGACCATGGCTTTGATCAGGTGCACCTCAGTCAACATGATATTGTTCTTAAAACACCGTAAAGAAATCTTTTGCAGTAGATTTGCCCTGTGTGGTATGTTGTTTGATTTTTTGACTCCTGCTTCCGTAGGTATTGATTGTGGATTCAAGTAAAATGAAGCCTTGACAGCTTCAATCTTTTCTCCATTTATTATGATGTTACTTACTAGTCCAGTTGTGAAGAATTTTGTTTTCTTTATGTTGAGATGTATTCCATAGTGAAGGCTGTAGTTTTGGATCTTCATCAGTAAGTGCTTCCACTCTTCTTTGCTTTTAGCAAACAAGGTTATGTCATCTGCATATCGCAGGTTGTTAATGAGTCTTGCTCAATCAGGATGCTATGTGTTCTTCATATAGTCCATCTTCTAAGATTATTTGCTCAGCATACAGATTGATTAAGTATGGTGAAGGAATACAATTCTGGCACACACCTTTCCTGATTTTAAACCATGCACTATCCCCTTGTTCTGTTCAAATGACTGCTTCTTGATCAGTGTACAGGTTCCACATGAGCACAATGAAGTGTTCTGAAATTTTCATTCTGTACAATGTTATCCATAATTTTTTATGATCCACACAATCGAATGCCATTGAGTAGTTAATAAAACACAGGGAAACATCTTTCTGCTGTTTTCTGCTTTCATCCTAGGTCTAACTGGGATCAACAATGATATTCCTTGTTCCGTGTCTTCTTCTGAATCTGGCTTGCACTTCTGGCAGTTCCCTGTTGGTGTATTGCTGCAACCATTTTTTAATTATCTTCAGCAAAATTTTTCTTGCATGTGATATTATTTAATAATTTCTGTATTCTGTGGGATCACCTTTCTTTACAATGAGCACAAATACAAATCTCTTCCAGTCAGTTGGCCAGGTAGCTGTCTTCCAAAGTTCTTGGCATAAATGAATAAGCATCTCCAGCATAGCATCCATTTGTTGAAATGATCTCAGTGGGTATTCCGTTAATTCCTGGAACTTTGTTTTTCATTAATTCCTTCATAGCAGCTTGAACTTCTTCTTTCACTATCATAGGTTCTTGATCATGTGGTATCTCCTGAAATGGCTGAATGTTTAATTCTTTTGAGTATAGTGACTTTGTGTATTCTTTCCAACTTCTTTTGATGCTTCCTAAGTTGTTCAAATTTTGCCCATGGAATCCTCAGGGGAATATACCACTTTTACGTACTCAGATGTTTTATAGGTTAACTTGAAAGCACGAATTTTTTATGTTTAATAACAACAAAATATGTGATCATAAAGTTGTGCTTGGATGTTTTACAGATGATTTTATAATGTAAGTAAATCACAGTGTAATAAGCTAAATGCTGTGGTTTCTAGAACCTACAGAAATTTGTTCTCTGAGAGCACAGAGGAAGGTATCACAGAGTATGCCAATTAGACAAAATATGAGCTGTGACTTAAAGAGTTACTTGGATTTAGTGAGATGGAGAAGGACTGTGGGAGAGTAGGCAGTGGTGAGTACCACACAATTGCCAGATACACTGTTTAGTTTATTTCAAGAAGGCACCATTCATTGATTTCCTGCTGTGGGTTATACAGGGAAAAGGCATGGAGAATGAAATACTGTGACGTATTAAAAATAAAGCAGTTTGGGTGCTATTAGAGTGTAACATGGACACAGTGTTGTGACAGATAAAGTAGGAAGCAGGAAATGGAGGTTCTCATATGGCAAATCTTATTCTGAAAATGCTAGGGACCACCATACTCAGATACTGCATTGTTTGTTAACCATATGTTACCATTTATGGCAGTACTCATTTTAAATTTCAGGTTAGTGGCATACCCAGAGTTAGAATGAAAAATAGAAATCAGGTCAGGAATAGTTGGTGAGGTGGTAGGGAGAGAGTTGAGTCAGAGGTAGAGTTATAGCAGAGGATATAATTTTATGTATTTATTTTTAATTGAAGTAGTAATATTGCTATGCAGAAAGCCAGGTGATAAGGTTTCTTCTCTGTCATAATGAAAATGATAGGAAACCTTTTTCAATTATATTTTACAATATTAGAAGGGATCAAGAAGAAACTAAGTATTGAAAAACATACTGTTGAAAATTTTTTTGACAGATCGCTTTAAATATCATATTGTTAAGCAGATCTTCTCTGGAGGAGACCAAACTTTTGTACTTTGCTCCAAATATGAGGTAAAATTTTCTTTTGATTATTATTTTGGGGGTGGAATAATGGTGAACCAATATTTTAGCAAATAAATACCTGAGAGTAATGTTACTCTTTATTTTTACCAATTTTGTCTTAGTAAGCAAACTAACCCTTGAAGAAATTATCTCCTTTTTTTCTCCCTTGAAGTGCCAATAACTTTTCTGGTATTTTAATCATAAAGTTCTAATTTATCATTTAAAATTATTGATATCCCTATTTGTTCCAAGTGCCTAAGGCATTTGACTGCTAACCAGAGGCTGATGGTTCAAACTCACCAGCCACTCCTCGGAAGGACGATGGGGCAATCTACTTCCATAGAGATACCACCTCGGAAACCCAAGGAGAGGTCGCCATGAGTTCAATCAACTCTATGGCAGTGAGTTTGGGGTTTTTTGGTTTAGACAGTTTGTGCTTACTTTGGCATTATTTGACTTTCCATTTTTTCCTTCCTTTATTAGAAGCAATAAATGCTCAGTATTTAAAAGCTTAGTAGGTTTCTTTGTTTGATGTGATTGAGTTTATAATACATGTGGTGGAGAAATTAGTTTTCAGCATGTCCTTTGTTATTTATAATCTACTCATGGCACTGCAGGAGCTCTGGTGGTGTAGTGCCTAAGGCATTTGACTGCTAACCAGAAGGTTGGTAGTTCAAACCCTCCAGCCACTCCTTGGAAGGAAGATTGGGCAATCTACTTCCGTAGTGATACTGCCTCGGAAACCCAAGGAAGGGTCACTATGAGTTGGATCCGATTCCACGGCAGTGAGTTAGAGTCATGGCACCATACTTTTTCACCTCATAGTGAGGTAGATAAGCAGTGAAGTAGATAAGCCAGGAAGAACAAAGTTAAAGTACCTTTCAGGGTTTAAGGCAGACTAAAGTACAAATCCTGGTATCTGTGATGGAGCTTCAGTTCAGTGCACTCTTCCTGGACTTTGGAAATCAACCTAAAGTAAGCCCCCTCCAATTTTACCCCTGCTCTTCTATTTTTCTCCTCTCCTCTTTGTCCTCTTTTTACCCTTACCCTTTCCTTTTAGTCAGCAATCATTGAGGGAGGATTAACTGTAGGTGTTGCATTGCTTCATTATCTTCACCTTGAAGAGCTGCAAAGTGACTATTAGTGATGCTAAAGCAACCAGACTTGGCTGGAAAGGAAATGAGGAATTATGGAAGCAGGGAGCCCTTTCTGTCCTGGAAGCTCCCACCATGAGCCTGATACTTTGCTATCTTTGCTTGCCATTTGGTTCATATCATTCTATAATTTTGATAGAAAAGGTTCTGATGTAGCTTTAGGCTACAGGTTGGTCCACTGAAACTGATGATTGGATGTTTTCCAGGTCAGAAGCTTGGATAAGGCTCTGTTTAGTACTACCATCTGGGGTGATTTGGAACTGTTGCTTCAAATCTGTTTTAGGCGCAACTTTAGAGTTGGAGGAAAGCTGAGGTGGTTCTTTGTTTCTTTGAGATGCCAGTACAATGAAGTATGAAAAACACTGCATCTTTTGTCCCTAAGTAGAGTTTGAAGCATGACTAAACTCAAAAAAAAAAAAAAAACCCTCACTGCCATTGATTCAGATCCGATTCATAGCGACCCTTCCTTGGGTTCCCAATGCGTTATCACTACAGAAGATTGCCCAGTCTTCCTTCCGAGGAGTGGCTGGTGGGTTTGAACTGCCATCCTTCTGGTTAGCAGTCAAATGCCTTAGGCACTATGCCACCAGAGCTCCTTGAATAATGTTACCCAGCTTTAATTTTCTTGTGAAATCCAAGTAGACTTCGTTTCAGTCTTTAAATAAATATGGCATCTGATATATGACATTGGATCTTAAATTTATTGTAATTAACACTGTTGGGACTGGAAAGCAGCACATTGGTGAGAAGAAAGTAGAGTAGTGGAGTGGTACAGAAACAGGGCAAGTTAAAGTTTAAACACTATAAAGAGTAGTATACATTAAAGATGTAAGATAACAGACAAAAAAAGATGCTAAAAATCAATAAATAGGAACTTCTTGCTCTTTGTAAAACTGAAAACTATACAAACATTATTTAAACTATTGACACTAGATATTTGTTTAGCTATAGAGACTGATTAAATCATATATTTACTCTAAGAACAAGGAAAAAGCACCTCTGGATAAATCTGTGAAACCCATTGCCATGCAGTTGATTCCAGAGTAGAACTGCCCTATAGGGTTTCCAAGGCTGAAATCTTTATGGAAGCAGACTGCCATAACTTTCTCCCATGGAAAACAACTGGTGGATTGAAGCACCAATCTTTTGGTTAGCAGCTGAGTGCTTAATCACTACACCACCAGGGCTCCTATCTAGACACACTCCATTTTATAGCTTGCTCACTCATTCATTAATGCTAGGCCTTGAGGTAGAAGAGGCAAGGAGAGGAATTACAGTCAGATAATTCTTCAATATATTTGATTTTAGGTCTTGTCACATCAGTGAGTGTAAACCATGATCCTTCCTTTTCCTTTCATTTTTTTTCCTTGGATGGGATTGAAGAGAGAATGTGCATGTGTTTGTGTGCGTGTGTGCATGTATGTGTGTGTCTGACACCTGATTAGGTGACCTTCTCTTTTTCCTAGTACAGTGATACTCAGCCTTGGTTGCCCATTGGCATCTTTGGGGGCTTTAAAAAATACTAAGCCTCTAGAGATTCTGATTGGTGTGGGTGTGACTTGAACATCACGGTTGCTGAAAATTCCCCTGGTCATCTAAAGTGCAGCTGCACTGAGAAATACTGGTCTAGACCTTTTTTTTTTTTTTCTTTTTTCTTTTTGTCCTGTATATAATTGTAAAAGCCAAAAACAACCCACTGCCATCGAGTCAATTCAAACTCAGCAACCTTGTAGGTCAGGGGAGAACTGTCCCACAGAGCTTCCAAAGCTATAAATCTTTACAGAAGCAGACTGTCTCACCTTTCTCCTGTGGAGTGGCTGGTGGGTTTGAACCACTGACCTTCTGGTTAGCAGCCAAATGCTTTAACCACTGCTCCACCAGAATACCATAAAGTAAGCAAACTCATTGCTATAGAGTCTATTCAAACTAATAGTGACCCTATAGGACAGAGTAGAACTGCCCCATAGGGTTTCCTAGGCTGTAATCTTTATGGGAGCAGATTGCCCTGTCTTTCTCTTGCAGAGTGGCTGGTGCAAATAGGTGCTTTAATCATGGCACCACCAGGGCACCTCATGTAATTAGAAGACACAGAAAAATGATAGTTTTTCTTATTTTTTTAAAGTGACTCTGAGGTTCTACTTCATTTAAGGCTGTCTGTAGTTTACTGGACATGCAGTAATGAATAAGAAAATAGTTCTATGTTTATCTTTTATTGTAACTGTATGTTAGAGTCCATGTTCAGTTGCCCTGCCCCTTTGAGTGGGGGAAGTAATCAGAATTTATATAACATTGGTTTTAACACCAGGTGGAAAAAGAGGCAATCTTGTTTGTGTGTCTCTACTCTGGCTTTCCAGTTTCCTATATGTGATTTAAGGTGGTTTTTATTCTCTCAGTAGACATCTGTGACCATTTTAGGAGTCCATTTATCAAGAACCAGATCAAAATCTTTGTCATACATCTCTGATTTATTACATGCTCTCTTTCTCCCCCTATATGATGATCTTAACTCACAACTACTTAACTCACAACTTCACAGAAAAGAGAAGCAAGAAAACTTACTTTTAAAGTTGTCTTTTTATATGTCAGTACAAAGGAGAGAGAGGGAAAAAAAAAAAAGATTATAAACTGATGAATGAATGCTTTAATATTGCTTTTTTACTCTCTATTAGTGACAAGTATAGGAGGTAAAAAGCACTTTCAACTTTTTCTTAGTTCTAGATCAAAAACAAGGTTTGAGGAAAATAAGTTGAAAAGTTATTTAATAAAATGCAAGTAGTTATGTGTTTTTGTTTTTTTTTTTTTTAATTTCAGTGAATAAAGTCTATATAATGCTGGGCAGTATTTGGGATTTTCAAGGCCTTTATTAACATCTCCAATGTGCCACCTTTCTTATAAATGTAGTGCTGTGCACCTGATGCAAGAAAATAAGAGGTTATAAGGTTTCATAGATTATATGCAATATAGATTATAACTGAACTCTGACTTACATAATATATTTTGTTGGAGTTTGGTGAACAGTTTTAATAAGTTAAAAACCTTGATGGTATGTTGATTTGATGTGAAGGGGAAAGAAGCCTGGAAAAGTTGTCTTGAGTTTATGAAACCTGAGACCAAGATTCATGTTCAGAAAAATGTTGGGGAAATGCTTTCTAGGACAACTACTTAGGGATGAAGAAGGCAGAATTGGGCAAAGGAAGAAGTTGAACTCCAACACTCTTGTAAAAGAGGCCTCAGCCAATCCCTTGGGGAGCCTCTGAAGTTAGGATGATCTTTCAGCCAATTCCTATATTGAGGCAAGTGGCCTGGGTTTTTGTACTCCGCCTTGAACTGCCATTGGATGTGAAAGGGGTGAAGTAATAACCAAGGACAGTTCCTGGAGAGTGGCCCAACTGTGAACTGTCAGGAGCTAATATTCCCAGCAGCTGAGGGAGTGAGTGCCCCCATTCTGAAGGGTGGGAGGGGAATCTGGACAGTGTACCCCAGCATCAACTATGTAAGTGAAACACAAAATGGAGAATGTGTGGGGAAAGGAGAGGAGCAGAGAACCATGCTACTACATAATTTCTTTTTTATTGGTATATTTAATCCTCCAGAATTACTCTCCTGCTATTGACTTCAGGACTATGAACCATGCACATTATACCAGTTTAATAAATGATGAAACTATAGCAGTTTGGAGACAGAAACTCTCAGAACATAACAACGCAAATACGATCAAGTATGTGGCTGCTTGTTGTCATTTAATTTTTTGCAAAGTATATTGGAACTTTCTAGCTTAGTAATTTTCCCTACTTCCCTGTCGAGGTTGTGTGTACAAATGGAGTTTCACATTTATCTTTTTCTTCTTTTTTTTGCACACATTTATTCAGACTTTGGTATCCTTATCCCCAAATAACAAAATAATTGTTTGTTCTCCCATTTCCACTCAGAGTACATTCCTCAGCCTGCCTTTTTCATTGAAATCTTACAAAATCCTGACTAGGACCTGCCAAGGGAGTTCAGTGGTATTGTTGTTTAACCCCAATGAGTCCCTTCATAAGTGTTTTCCAAAGCATCCCAAATCTCATATTGCTGTTATCTGGCCTAATCTGAAAACTTTCTTGCATTTTACCATTCAAAATGATTAATTGAAATGGTAATTCAGAGTTAAGTAGAATAAACATATGTAATAAAAAGGATTGAGACCTTTTATCAAGTTTATTTTATTAAAATGTAATTTTTTTTTCTCTGCTCATTTTTAAGCATTTTCATTGACTTTCCTCATCATTTCTATTTTTCTACAGAGAATCCAGTTCTTGGAAATGAATGAATCATGCTCTGTACTAAGCTATGATCATTCCCAGAAATGTATATGGTAGATAAATGACACAAATTATAGTGGGGCAAATAGATGCTAAACTTTACGGCATTCTGTGGTAGCAGATTTTTGAGCGAGGGATCATTAAGAATGTCTGACCACAGCTCCATGGCAATCATCATAATCCTTTTCACTTCAGGGTGGCTCTCTCCAGAGTTCAGGCCTGAATGGTGGCAGGATCTAGTCCCCCAGAAGAGGACTAGATGGTAGTCAAGAGGGTGAAGTATATATAGATTTACTCTGCTGGGGACTTTGAGAAATTACCTCACCATTGGTTCTCAGGTTTTTTTTTTTTTATTTATAAAATGAAGGGAAAGAAGAAATGATCTTTGGAGATCATTGCATGCCAAATTCTCTTAGTAACAGGAGTTACTGTAGTCCCTTCCCAAACCATGTATTTGTTTTAGTCTTTCCCTTTTCTTTGTAGTAAATAAGAGGGCCTAGAGTTCCTGACATGCAGTTTTACTCTGGGTCCCTGGAAGCTACCTATTTTCCCAGAGCCTGTATAATCTAAGCAGTAGGACTAAATACTCATTTCACTTATTTTTAGTTTCCCAGATAGGCAGCAAAATAAGAAGGAAGTGGTTGTTGAGATATTAATTTGCAAAGTTAATATCTGTATTTGGGAAACAGCAGCTCAGATTCTCTTGGTTTTATTTTGTGTTCACATTGGAAAGTAAGGTGGGGAGTGTCTTACGTGGCTGATGGTAGAAGAATGTCTAAGGTCATTATTAGGGGCAAGGTTTCCTCTTTCGGTGGCTTTCATACTCTCTTTTCAGTCTTCATGACTTATGGAAAACTTAAGTTCTTGTCCATTTTGAGATGTAACATTATGTTTCTCTAAAGCATATGTCCATTTTCCAAGTGTTCATCTGATTAAGAAAGAGCTGCTGTTAATGAAACCCTAGAGTAGATGGCTAATCTATTGCTGATGCTTATAATTATTAAAGCCTTCCTTCCCTTTTTGTTTCTGAGCAGTGGTGTTGTTCAGATACTATCTTCTGCAGCCTGTTGGAATGGAAGTTTTCTTGAAAAAAAGTAAGTAACTTAGAATCTAGGAAAAAAAAATGTGATGCAAACAAATACTTAGAAAAGACGGTGACTTCTGTTCTCCCTGATGATGGTTGGCCTTAATTTGATGGATAAGCTAATGATGGGTACAAAAATTGGAATGCCTAATAATGAAGAATGAGAAGACTTCGGGGAGGGCAGTGCTTATTCATGCCTGGTTGGCAGAGAAGCAGATTACCAAAGAGCAAGACTATGTCTCAGAAGCAGTTGGTATAATCAAAAGTAAGATTTTTTTCTGGCTATTCTAAAATGTTTCTCAGGTTTTAAAATAAGCAGGTGAAACTCTTCATATAGTGTATAGTAAACTTTTTTTATCTTTACAGGTCAGGTTTATGAGACATATATTGACATGTTAAATATATCAACACCAACATTGCTTGGACCAACACTTGGCATCTCAGTGACAAATACAGATTAGAGAAATATTACCTGCATTTTGACTAGAAGAAGCTTTTAATTTGCCATTATTAATGTTCTTAGTCTTAGTAAAGATAGAAGGTGCTTCACCTAATTTTCTTAAAATCATAAACTGAAAGATCAAATAATTTTCAGTGTTTATTACGTTTTTACATACACTCAATATGTCCTGGATTGTCTGTAGCAGTGGTACTGTTTAATTTTATTTGATTGACAGACACACTGTCAAGTGTTGTACAATGAATTGAACTCCCCAAATGATCAGTAACCCATTGACAACAGCAATATGACTGTTTCAACTAGATTTGTACCTGACAACATTGTGAGACAAAACTATAAAACATCTCAAAAAAATCTGATTCAAGAAATTAAAAAATTCTTGATACCTCATTTTTTTCTACCTTATACTAAGCTCCTCATCACGGTGACCCCATGTGTTGCAGAGTAGAACTGTTCCATAGGTGTTCAAGCTGTGACCTTTCAGAAGAAGATCACCAGGCTTTACTTCTGAGGCACCTGTTGGTGGGTTTGAACTGCCAACCTTTTGGCTAGAAGTCAAGTGTTAACCTTTTGCACCCCACATAGGTTGTCAGAATGACTCAGTGATAACTAACAACTCAGCTTTTCCTTCATTTTCCAATCAATGCTGTTTAAATGCATTTTCTTGATTTTATATGTTGAAGTACTGATCTTCAAGCCCACAGGCCAATTCAGTATGGACAAGAGTGTCTTGGAACACTACTGCAGTGGTCTGATCCAAACAAAACCCCCCAAGGAGAAAATCCATCTTTATTCTTCACTTCTGAATCTAGAAAAGTTTTGATAATAGAGAGGGGTGGGAGTTAACACTGCAGTTGCCAGTAGAAGACAGAACACATTGAATTACCTGAGAGTCTCCCTTCCCACCTGCTTCCCTACCTTCCATCCCTGTCCTTCCATCAGGTTCAATCCCACTTCCTTCCAAGTCCCTATTCCACTTCCCTCTTTCCTGTACCTTCCCTCTTCTTCCCTTCCTCCTGTACTTGCCCTTGCCCATAATTATTGAGCGTTTACAGTGCTTTGGGCACTGAGGATATGGCTGTGAGCAAAACAAACTTGACCATTAATGAATTTATCACAAAATTATTTGAAATAAATAGCACCCTCTTTTCTCCCCTGCCCTATAGAATGCTAAATCAGATGATTATCAGAAACTGAAGTTTTGGGGTGTTCCCTCCCCCCATTTTAGATTTATTTTGTGGCATCACATACTAAAGTAGTATATTTTTAGAAGAAATGACCTAGAATAAACCCTAATTCTCTTCATGCCACAAAATACCTAATCTCATTAAGTCTCCCTAATTTTTAAATTTTGGCAATTAGTTGAGCCACTCCAATAAGACTTTTGGGGGTATTGTAGCCATGGGGCACAATTTTGACCTTTGGGTAAATGACTTTCTCCAACAAGTTGGAAGGATTCAAGATGTCTTTCCTCCCCAAGATGGCATTTTTTTAGAATCTGATGCTGTGGGGTGACCTCTCTTCTATTTAGATTGCTTTTCTGTGTGGTTGGAGGCTGGAAGGGTAAAAAGGAGGTGTCTCTTACAAGGTGCCCTAATTGTATTGCTTTAAGCCTTGGGGAGAAATTCTCTTCTCATATTTTCCTTAACTTATTTCCCATTGATCCCTCTGCCCCTGCCCCTGCCAGCATGTACAGTATTTTTGCTTTAATTCTCAAAAAAAAAAAAAAATCCCCTTGGTTTCTTTGGTTTGGTTTCCTGTAGTTTTTCTTTTCTCAATAGGTGTGAACTCAGGTAGAAGTTCAAGGGGGCTCCTGGAGCTCCCTGCATTCAGGTCCAGCATGTTGTTATTGTTGTTATTTGCCATTGAGTTGGCCCCGACTCATAGCGACCCCTCCTTGGGTTTCTGAGGCAGTATCACTACGGAAGTAGGAATGCCCAACCTTCCTTCCGAGGAGTGGCTGGTGGGTTTGAACCGCCAGCCTTCTGGTTAGCAGTCAAGTGCCTTCCTTAGGCACTATGCTACCAGAGCAGGTCCAGCATAGGTCACCAGGAAATTACATTTGGGTCTGAGCTCCCAGGTAGTTAATAAAGGGTTTCTTTGCTTGGTCTCATGCCTACTGCTGGAGCTCTGGTAGCATAGTGGCTAAGTCACTTGACTGCTAACCAGAAGTTTGGTGGTTCAAATCCACCAGCCACTCCTCAGAAGGAAGATGGGGCAATCTACTTCCATAGTGATACTGCCTCAGAAACCCAAGGAGGGGTCGCTATGAGTCGGGTCCGACTCGACGGCACATAACAACAACAACACAATCCCTACTGCAGATACGCCACTGGGAACCTAATGCGACCAAGGATCTTATCATGGATTTTGAATTTTGATGATATCAAGTCCTGACCATCCCTTAGTCCTTTAGTGCCAGCAGCCAGGCTAATGAGATCTGGTTACAGAATGAAGACCTAGATTTCAGTTTTTTGTGAATTCATCTAGCCTTCTCACTCCCAAATGTGTGTCCCTAACTAAGTTGCCAGAAGTTGTTTCAAGAACACTTCAGTTACAGCTAGAGGTTGCTGAGTTATTTACTTTAGAATGACCAACAGCAAAACACTCAGAAACAAAGCATCTTCTCTTGATTTGACCATTTGGATTCCAATTTATATGACTTCTTCTTAATGTTAGAAGCTCTACTTATATTTTTATGAATTAAAACATTGTTGTCAGAGGGTGGTAAAACTATGTCCATTGCTCAAAAACTGAAACCTCTTTTACAAGTAGGTAATTCTTTTATAAATTAATAGATGTGATATGTCCAACAGTGGGGATTTAAAAGAGGTGTTTTCTAAATATTAACAGATTGATTTTATTTAAGCTTAGCAAAACAATTTCGTTACTAGGAAATAAAAGAGTAGAAAGTGAATTTAGTTTTTGGGTGAATGTAATTGTGTCCTTTGCATTAACTAAGATTTGTTGTAGATATGGTTTTTATATTAAAGTATTTGGTTAAGAAAGGTTTTAACAAGGAAGTTCCGTTTGTTGGTGAGTGTGTTGGTTTGCTCAGAGGATATGTTTTGCACCAAGGCACAGCATCTAAAGTTCAATGGACCACAATTACAGAAAATGGGGGTGGGGGAGAGTACAGAGAAGTAACCCTCTGCTTGTAAATTTCAAGGCGTCCTCAACTTCAGGTGATGATCCTTGTACTTTGACTTGCAGAAAAAAAGAAGTGAAAATTTTAAGGTCATTTTGAAAAAGGAATTTCAGAAAGGATTATTCCATTGGGCTTCCTCAAAGTGTAGTAATTTTATAGATCTTATCTGCCAGGTCAAATTTAAATCTGATCAGTGTGGACAAACTATTTTGCTTTCTTTTTTGTAATTCATATCAGAGAGTTAGAGTAACCCTGGTGGCGCAGTGGTTAAATTACTGGACTGCTAACCTACCAGGTGCTTCTCAGGAGAAAGATTTGGCAGTCTGCTTCTGTAAAGGTTTACAGCCTTGAAAACTGTATGGGGCGGTTCTGCTCTGTCCTGTAGGGTCAGTATGAGTCAAAGTTAACTCAGTGGATGTGGGTTCCTATCAGAGTATTTGCTTTTTTTCTTTTTTTTACTATTATTATTACATTCTTGGTTTGTTTCTGTTTGTTTAGAATTGATGAACACTTTAAAACAAGCCCCAAGATCCCCGGGATTGACCTGAACTCAACTAGAGTGTTATTTGAAAAGTTAATGAACTCTCAGCACTCTTTGATTCTAGAACAGGTATGTTCTTTACATATATCGAGTACATTCTTAAAACAACCACGTTTGCATCGCAGTAATTTAGCTTCCAAGAGAAAAAAGGTGAAAAAGCAGAAATCGTGTAAAAACGGGAAAATCTTTACAAATGTGAAGTTTGTAAAATACTAACTTTGGGAATTTGACCTACCTTTAGCTTTGTTTTTGGCTTAAATCTTGCTAAAGAAATGGCCCATTAGAATGTAAACTCTGCCTGGGCAGGGATCTTTGTCTCTTCTTTTCCTTGATGTGTCTAGAGAGGCTCCATCAATATCTGGCTCATAGTAGATAGGTGCTCAGTGAATACTTACTGAGATTTGAAAGACTTTCAAGTTAAATAGTTCTGAGGTATGTTTGACTGTCTCAATCTCCTTTTCCCTTCCAGATCTTAAACAGCTTTGAAAGTTGCCTGATTCCCCAGTTGTCAAGTTCACCACCAGATGTTGAAGCAATGAGAATCTATTTAATACTACCTGAGTTTCCCCTGCTCCAGGATTCCAAGTATTACATAACGTTGACTATTCCTTTGGCTATGGCTATTCTACGGCTGGATACAAATCCCAGCAAAGTATTAGGTGAATTTGCTAAATTCAATACCAATGATTTGTGCTTATTTATTTTGTTGTTGTGACCACTGGGATTGGCTCTCAGTGGATTGAGATCCAAGAACCTATTTGTTGCTTTAATATCCTTAACATTTAAACTTTTCTTGCTTTGCTGTTTATTTCTAGCTAACCATACTTGCAGCTTGGGCACATTGAACCTTTTATTTAGGTTATTTGAAATGACTCACATCAGATTGCTCTTGATTTTGAAATATCCACAGTTAGATTATTCACCTTTAAATGTTTTTGTTTTCATTCCTCCCACATTTGCTGGTAGTTAATAATACTTCAAAAATTAGTGTCCATCTGTCTCTTTTTTCTGTATCTAACTTAGGGGGTGGGAGTGAAATGAACAGCTTTGGTGATACAGAGGTCTCCAGAATAGGAGAGGAAGAAAATGACCTAGTGGGGACTTACCAAATGTTTTGTTTTGCTTTTGTTTTTTAGGACAGTTGAGTCCACACTGATTTTTGCAGGCTACGGACACTTTGCTGAGATAAGAACCTTCCATTCCTCAGTGAATTGGAGAGTATCTCTCATGGGAGTAGTACCTGAGGTGTTTTTATTAATCAAGTGCAGAAAGTCTGTCAACTGGCTTGTTTATTTATTTTTGGCCCTGGTAAATTTTTTTTTTTTTTTTTAGGTGTTCATTGAAACTCAGTAACTTCTGTGTTCCAGATGCACTGGGATGTTACTTGAGTATGGTCTCTCCATGCGTAAAGAAACCTGTGTTACTGAGGGTGGAATATTGGCTTTTCCATATTGTTTCCACCTTTGAAAAAGATATAACAACAGAAATAATTATGAAACACTAGTATTATGTTAGTACATAATTTTTCTTGTTTTAAAGATCAAAAGCCGTTTGGGGAATACTAAGTTTTGGTTTCTTCTAATTCTTATTTTTCCAGATAGGATATAGAAAGAGATCAGAATTGTTTAGGTTTACATTTAATTTGTTTTTAACTTATTATAGAACTTTAAAAGAATATTCCAAAGTTGAGATAACACTATGTGTATCCCTCACCCAGGTGCAGTGATTCTCAATATCTTGCCCTTTGTGTTTTATCTGTTCCTCCCACCACCACCACCTTTTTATTTTTGCTGGAATACTTTAAAGGACATCTTAGACATCATGTTGTTTCACTCTTTAAATATTTCAGTATGGCTGGATTTATTTCTAACAAAGTAGAAGCTATGGTATAATCTTTTTGTCTAGTTTTGAGAGAGCATTTTTTTGTAGACAACAAGTAGTTTTTATAGTTTTTAAGTAGTTTTTAAGTGGTTTTTAAGTTTTTAAGTAGTTTTTAAGAAAGGGTCATTTGCTAATCTTTGTCTTTTTGTGTTTTTGTAGTTTTTAAGTAGTTTTTCAACTGATTATGCCACATGGAGTGAAGGAATAGCTGCCATATTGATGCTGTTTCTAGGGCATGTCTTGCTTCCTTGGGGCAGGATTTAAGTGTGGCTGAGAATAGGGCCCAAAGGATTGGGGTATATGAATGCTTTTTGGAGTAATACTGTGGACATCACTGCTGCCCAAGATGGGTGCCTTAGCATCTTGTCCACATGTAACCTTGGCGTTGAACTTTTAGGTTAGCATTCTGAATGAGTCTTTGAGGAAAAAAATGAGTTCAAGCTTTACAAAACAAATTCCAGGGATTCTTATGCAGCTGCTGCTCTCTCCAGAAATGCTCTTTCCAGAAATCCTCTCTCCAGTGAAACAAAATGGATCTTTTTAAAGTTACTTCTGGGAAACTGTGTTTTAGACTAATGTTTATCTTGTAACCGGAGCAGTTATTAGATAATAGTGAGAAGACAAACATTTGATAAAAGATGACATGTTGAAATATGTCTTTTCTTTCTCTCTAAAGATAACTGGTGGTCTCAAGTATGCCCAAAGTATTTCATGAAGCTGGTAAACCTCTATAAAGGTGCAGTCGTTTATCTACTGAGAGGAAGAAAGACATTCTTAATTCCTGTGCTGTTTAACAATTATATTACAGCAGCTCTTAAGCTCTTGGAGAAATTATATAAGGTAAGCACAGGGAGGAGCCAGTGGAGAGAAGGGGAGAAGATGATAAGGGGAAATATACTACTCAGATGTTCTAAGGGAAGCCATTTTCCAGTTTCTGGGTTTTAGTTGTCCTTATTTTGTTCTTCATCAGGTAAATCTTAAAGTGAACCATGTGGAATATGATACATTTTACATTCCTGAGATTTCCAGTCTTGTGGACATTCAGGAAGACTACCTCATGTGGTTCTTGCATCAAGCAGGGATGGTAAGTATTCATTTAAAGCATATCTTAAAGCTTTAGTCTTTTCCCAGAGTACAAATTAGGACAAGAAAGGCCCATTTGAATCCTACATAACATGTCTTTTACTTTGGTGTTAATGTCATACTTATATTTCATTCAGGTAACTTTTGCATTCCTGGAACTTTGAAGCATTTTGAGTAAATAAATGGCCATAGGGTTCATAACCAAAATGTTAAACATTTTAATTAATTGCCCACATTTAAAACTCAAGACATTATACATTAAAAAATGTATTTGAAGTTTTTCTGTTGTCTTCCTAGATGGTATCAGTTGGCTGGTGTTCAGTAGCAGCTCTTTAGATGAAGCTTATGTTTGCCACAATCCCCAATGCAGCTTGATTTATCCATGACCTTGAGGAAAGGGTCATTTGCTAATCTTTGTCTTCTATGACCCAGCCTATTTCAGTCATCTATTTCAAGGAGCTCTGGTGGTGTAGTAGTTAAGGCATTTGGCTGCTAATTAAAAGGTCAGTGATTCAAACCCAGGAGCTGCTCCATGGAAGAAAGATGGAGTGGTCTGTTTCTGTGAAGATTTACAGCCTTGGAAACCCAATGAGGGTCACTATGAGTCGGAATTGACTTGATGGCAGTGAGTTTCTGGTTTATGTCAGCAGTCAAGAAGCTCTTGGTGGTGCAGTGGTTGAAGCATTCAGCTGCTAACCACAAGGTCAGCAGTTTGAACCCACCACCCACTTGGGAGGAGAAAGTTGAAGCAGTTTGCTTCAGTAAAAGATTTACAGCCTTGTGTGGGTTTCTATGAGTTGGATCGATTTGATGGCAGTGGAGTATGTCAGCTGTCTAGACCCAGTAGGCCACATCTGATTCAGGATTACATGCCTATGAAAATGTTAAGCATCCCAGGCCTAGCTTTTACCATAAGTTGAACATGCTATCCACAAGGGGACCATGGGTTCCTGAGGCCCCTGACACCCTTGGCTTGGCAGAAACTGCTCAGTTTGATTGCAGGCTGGCTTAAGATTGCAAGGCTCTTTGGGATTCCCCATATGTGGAGTGTGTGTGAATTTGAGTTGTCAGAGAACAGAATTATAATTTGACTGCTGCGTTTGGTGAAGCCATGTGCTATAGCCCTTACCTGTTTAACAGATTCATGACCAACATTTTAGCAATGTTCCTGTTGGGTTTTTGGAGGTCAGTACTGGTTTCAATAAGCAAGGGATTTAAATAGATTTCTTAAACTAAATAAGCAAATTGTTTTCTCTGTCAAATAAGAGATGACCAATATGAGACACAGTATTGCATTTTTAAATAAGACTTGATGAATAACTTGAACAAACAAAATGCTTTTTCATAAAAATGAGTCTGAGTCTTTCAAATAGGTTGATAATGGAAAGCTTAACATCTAGCCATGAACTCTATTTTTACCTACTGATTTAGAAATTTTAATAAGTGAAGCTTTTCTTTCTTTTTATCAATTTGTGATTCTTCATTGCATAATAAAATATTAGAGTTTAAATAAGCCATATGAATTCTTTAGGCCAACTGCTTTGTTTCTGGATTAGGAAATGGAAGCCCAGAGAAGTTAAACGGTTTTTTCACTAATTCAGCAAGCTATTTTCGAAGCAAATTCTTCTGACTTCTAGTTTACTCTTACTTTGACTTGTAATTCTAATAAGCCCTTATTCCTTTTGACCTTGAAAAAGAACTTGCTGGTGTTAAAATCTAGATTGTCTGACTGTAGTCTCTGAATTCAAGTGCTTAAGTGAGCAAATTTTACAATTTGGCTATAGTTTCTTTGAAAACTTAAGTTAATATAAAGGTTCATCTTTTCTAAAGTAATTCAATAATTAAGGAAGCAATTATTGAAAGATAGAAAATTAGGTGAAATTAATGTATGACCTTTTGTGATCTCTAGATTTTTTCTATTGTGTAAGATACAATGCTATTAGAAATTGAAGTTTAAATTTCTTGATATCCTGAATTTTACCTTAAAATGCTAAGTGATTTCATATGTAAATTTATGTTTATTTTAACCACGTTTAAATGGGGTAGTACTTCCATGGAGATACCGCCTCAGAAACCCAAGGGGAGGGGTCGCTGTGAGTCCAATCCACTTGATGGCAGTGGGTTTGGTGTTTTAGTGAACAGTGTAGGAGCCCTGGTGGTGCAGTGGTTAAGCACATGGCTGTTAACCGAAAGGTTAGCAGTTTTAAATGCACCAGCAGCTTTACCAGAGGAAAGACCTGGCTGTCAGATCATGTGATTTCAGCCTTGAAACTCCTAGGGAGCAGTTCTGCTCTGTCCTGTGGGGTGTTAGGAGTTGGAATAGTGTATGATTCCACTTATTTGAAATATCTAGAATAGGCAAACATATAGAATCAAAAATTTATTAATAGTTACCAGAGACCAGGGGAAGGGAAAATGGAGAATTATTGCTGAAAGGATACTTAGTTTCTGTTTAGGGTGCTGAAAAATTTTTGGAAATGAATAATGGTGGTGCTTGTACAACATGATGAATGTAATTAATGTACTGAATTGTATACTTAAAAATGATTAGAATGCAAAAGTTCAGTTATATCTTAAAACAATATATTTTTTATAAATTATTCAAAGATTCGTTCATGTACCTTCTGTAGGCCTAATATTGGTCTTAGAACTCTGAGTCAGGGATAGCTTACTCCATTAAGTAATTTTTAAAAACACTTGAAATGCTTCATAAATATTTGCCTTCTTCTAAGATTAACAAGCTCTGTATGTGTGGAGGAAGACATAACATACTAATAATAAATGTAATTTGTATTATCCATGCTGCTTCAGGAAAGATTAAACCCACTGCCATTGAGTCAATTCTGACTCATAACAACCCATAGGGTTTCCAAGGTTGTAAATCTTTATGGAATCAGACTGCCTTGTCTTTTTCCTGCTGCCCGGCTGGTGGGTTCAAACTCTGCCGACCTTTTGGTTAGCAGCAGAATGCCTTAGCCACCACACCACCAGAGCTCCTTTCAGGAAAGATTACAGCATTGAAATCCCTATGGGGAAGTTCTACTCTGCACTATAGGGTTGTTTTGATTCGGAATTGACTTGGTAGCTGTAGGTTTAGTGGGTTGGTATGTTACCCAATAAAATTAACCTCTGAAGTCAAGGTTGTAAAGACTCCTGTTTGGCATTATGTTTGTTATAAAGGAAAATTTGAGCGATGCTGTGAATTATAGAGAGTTGGTGAAATAACCATTAAAGGTCCTTTAAACCTGTCTTACAATTGTTATTGTCCTTTTACTTAGTTTTTGTCCATTAAAACATCTGGTCTGTTCACTCAGCAATCCATTTAGCCATTCAAATGGTGGTGTTCCATGGCCAAATAGACAAGGCTATTTGTTTATTATTTGATTTCACATTTGTGGGAGGCAAGAAGCTCGGGTTTTGAAATTCAAGTAATGATTTTTTTAAATTTTTCTTCACACAGAAGGCTAGACCATCTATAATACAGGTAAATGATTCTTTTTAAAATTTTTATATCTTTTTTTCCAGAAGTATGCTCAGTGGAATACTATAATTTTGCCAATGATGTATTTTATTCTAGGATACTGTAACACTTTGTTCCTACCCTTTTGTCTTTGATGCCCAAGCCAAGACCAAAATGTTGCAGACTGATGCTGAACTACAGATGCAGGTATCATATATTAACAATTATTTCCTTTTCTGTGTTTTTCTCATCTTAGACATTCAGTTATAATTTTTCCTGGTAGGAGAGAGTATATTTGGATCAAATAACTCTGAGAACCATTCTAATTTTTTTCCCAGCAATTTTATGCTGAATATAACACATGTGTGACTGTGCGTTTATGTAAATCAGGGCCTGGTGAATTTTTTTTCTGTAGAGGCCTAGATAGTAGGTATTTTAAGCTTTGTGGTCTCTGTTGCAAGTAATTAACTCTGTCATAACATAAAAGCCTCCATAGACAATATGTCAATGAATGAGTGTGGGTATGCTTTTATAAACTTTATACGTACACTGAAATTTGAGTGTAAAATTCACATGCCACAAAATATTCTTCTTTTGATTTTTTTCAATTATTTAAAAATTGAAAATGGTTGTTAGCTCAAGCTGTACAGAAATAGGCAGCCGGTTAGGTTTAACTGCAAAGCCAGCTGTGATTGACAATCCCTGATGTAGACAGAGATAATTCAGTGGAGCTTGTAATACTTTATTGGATAAAGAAAGTTATAGAGATCTATTAATAGTGTATTTTAAATGTACATTTTTATTATAAAATAGAATTGATTTTGACAAGCCTACAAAAGGCATTTGTGAATTATCTACCCTTGGTAGATATATAGTGTCATTCCTTTCTTTCTTCATCTGTCTCTCTGTCTCTCTCCAGCTTTCTCTCTATCCATCTATCTATACATATCTATTTTCATAGTGATATGTTCATGATATGACAAAGGTTTTCTAGAGAAGATTGACATTTTTCAGAGAATAACAACTATTTAATTAGTGGTTATTAGGTTTCTTTTACTGTCATTTTGTAAGTCATGTTTCTTCAATTGCAGTCTTCATTTTAGTCTTAATCACTTTCCTGCAACTGGTTATGGCTCATATGGTTCATAAATTGTTTCAGTCAATCTGTTTGAGTTCAGATTTGAAAGATTTGTGTGCTCTGTACATAAGTAACTTACAATCTACTCTGAAAATTAGAAGGGTAAAAGGATACAATAGAGGTGCTGTCAGTTCTCTGCGATCCAGAGGCACAGCTGGCTGCCCTTTGGATGTGCGTCGAGTAATTGTTGTCTTGGGTATGCCATTCCAGGTAGCAGTTAATGGAGCCAACCTGCAGAATGTCTTCATGCTTCTCACCCTGGAGCCTTTGCTGGCCAGAAGCCCCTTCCTGGTCCTTCACGTTCGCAGAAACAACCTCGTTGGAGATGCCCTAAGAGAGCTCAGCATTCATTCTGATATTGATTTGAAAAAGCCTCTCAAAGTAATCTCCTTCAGTATATTCCTCTAAATCTTCATAGGTTCTTTAAATAGTGTTGATGAAGCAGCAAAGATCTTGTTATAACTGCAGAGGGGAGCCATTCATTATTACACTTTTATTCATTTTGTTGTTGTTGTGTGCTGTTGAGTTGATTCTGACTTAATAGTGACCCATAGCATTACTTGGGCTATAATCTTTATGACAGCAGATCTGCAGAGCATCTGGTGGGTTCATATTGCCAACCTTTTGGTTAGCAGCTGAGCGCTTAACCCTTGGGCCACCAGGGCTGTTTTCATCCAGTTTACAAATATTTAATAATATCTTTCTGTCAAGTCACCAAAAGAACATCTCAACATAACATCAGAGAAAAATGCCAAAGGAGTCTTTGAAAGATCAGAGGGTTTTCTCTGTCTGCTTTTGCTATTGGTGTTGTAACTGTCCCATTCGTACCAAAATCAAGTAAAGAACAGCAAAAACAAAAGCTTTATGCAAAAATAATCAAGCCACCATCTAGGAAAATTTTGGTTGTCAGAGATTTAAGAGAAAGAAGATAAAATAGGAGAACAGAAAGGTAGTAAGATAGTCTGGAAAGCTTTGGGCCTATTATGATAGGCATGCTTAAACAAAAAAGTCTAAATGCATTGTTGTGGAGTTGATTCCAATTCAGACTTTATACCCTCTTCTGTAAAGATTTATAGCCTTGGAAACCCTATGAGGCTACTCTGTCCTATAGGGTCGTTATGAGTCAGAATCGATTCAATGGCAGAGGGTAGGAAATGTTTATGGAAGCAGACTGCCACATCTTTCTCCCATGGAGGGGCTGATGAGTTTGAACTGCTGACCTTTTGGTTAGCAGCCAAGAGCTTAACCACTGTGCCACCTGTGCTCCTTAGGAATGCTTAGCACCCAGATATTAATAAATTAAGAAACTGTTTCTCCCAAGACCATGTATGTATATTTATATTACTGATTATTCCCAGAGTTTAGCACAATGCTTGGGACACAGTAGATGTTCAATAAATAATTAAGGAATTATTTGCAGTTGTTTGAGGTTGTTCATATTTTCCTTCAGACAACTTCCATATCTCTATTTCTAATCCTGTTACAAGCTCCACTTATAGAAGCCTAGTAGACAAGAAGCTAAACTAATTTTCTCCATGATATTGTCAACCTTGCCAAAGTTTCCGACCAGTAGCATCAATCCACCATCAATCTACCTGAGAGTTCTCCCTAGAATTTCTGGGTTATATTTTTAATACTATGTTTTTCTTTGCCCTCTAATCAGAGTAGTGGCTAAGGCATTTGACTGCTAACCAGAAGGCTTGTGGTTCAAACCCACCAGCCACTCCTCAGAAGGAAGGTTGAGCAATCTACTTCCGTAGTGATACTGCCTCAGAAACCCAGGGAGGGGTCGCTATGAGTCGGGTCCAACTCAACGGCACATAACAAAAACAACAACTATTCTTAATCATTAATTAAGATGAGAGAGTTCTTGCTTAGTAGCATGTCTGAGTTAAGTCTTCTGGCAGCTGTCTAGTGGTGATCAGAGTCCTAGTTCTGTGCCTATATTGACTCTCACCCTTTTCTAGTCAACCTTGAACATAATCATAAGGATAAGCTTTCCTGAATGCTTCTTTCAGCTCTCTGCCTGAGTCCTTAGCTGTAAAATGAAAGCACTGATGATAATCCCCATATATAAGACTTTTCTGAGGATTAGAACAGACTTTACATGCTGGCACAAAATATGCTTTCAGCAAACACTATTTATTGGCTTGTTGTCTTCATTAACTTCCATGACCATTACAGGTCCAAGACACCTGATTACAGCCCCTCATGGAGCCCATTTCTGTGGCTGCTTATAATGTCTTCCTTCCTTCCATTAGGAGCTCTGGTAATGCAGTGCCTAAGGCATTTGACTGCTAACCAGGAGGTTGGTAATCCAGTGCACCAGTTACTTCAAGAACCCCATTGAAACTAATTTCTTCGCATAAGTTTTTCTTTCTTCATTAATCGTTGCTTTTCTCTGTGTGCTAAAACATTTACCTCTAAGTATCTATTTGTTCTTTGAAAATAAAATGTATTCTCTAATGCTTGTCTTGGGGGCTCTGGTAGCATACTGCCTAAGGCACTTGACTGCTAACCAGAAGGCTGGCGGTTCAAACCCACCAGCCACTCCTCAGAAGGAAGATGGGGCAATCTACTTCCATAATGATACTGCCTCAGAAACCCAAGGAGGAGTCGCTATGAGTCAGGTCCGACTCAACGGCATATAACAACAACGCTTGTCTTATGCTTGTCTTACTGCTCCAAATAGATGGTACACTCTTACCATCTTTGTATCTCTTGAATCATCTGGTAAAAATTTTGTGTTTATAAGTGCTTTATTAAAAATTGATACTACCAGCAAGATAAAACAGATGTTGTTGTTGTTATGTGCCGTTGAGTCAAACCTGACTCATAGCGACCCCTCCTTGGGTTTCCGAGGCAGTATCACTATGGAAGCAGGATTGCCCAACCTTCCTTCCGAGGAGTGGCTGGTGGGTTTGAACCGCCACCCGTCTGGTTAGCAGGCAAATGTCTTAGCCACTATGCAACAGATACACCTTACAATTTTTGTTGCTTCTATATATTCTCTATAACGTCTTTCTCCCCTTGTCTTGACTTTGGAAAAATTTACTAACAAAAAAAAAAAAGATAAGATTTACCATTGGTGTGGTTGTTAGGTGCTGTCAAGTCTGCTCCCACTCGCAGTGATCGTTACGTGTACAACAGAACAAAGCACTGCCTCTTCCATCTTCACAGTTTTTGCTGTGTTTGAGCCCATTGTTGCAGTCAGTGCATCATTCCATCTCATTGAGGGTCTTCCTCTTTTTTACTGACCTTCTACTTTACTAAGCATAATGTTCTCCAGGGATTGGTCCTTCCTGATAACATGTCCAAAATAAGTGAGACAAAGTCTTCTGTCCTTACTTTTAAGGAGCATTCTGGCTGTACTTTTCCCAGGACAGATTTGTTTGTACTTCTAGAAATCCATGTTGTTGTTGTTGTTGTTATGTGCCATAGAGTCGGACCCGACTCATAGCGCCCCTCCTTGGGTTTCCGAGGCAGTATCACTATGGAAGTAGATTGCCCCATCTTCCTTCCGAGGAGTGGCTGGTGGGTTTGAACTGCCAGCCTTCTGGTTAGCAGTCAAGTGCCTTAGGTACTACGATACCAGAGCTCCCATAGTAATTCAATATTCTTCACTAACACCATAATTCAAATGCATTGATTCTTCTTTGGTCTTCCTTATTCACTGTCCAGCTTTCTCATGCATATGAAATAATTGAAAATACCATGGCTTAAGTCAGATGCATTTTACTTCTCAAAGTGATATCATTTTAAAACTTCAAGCTCAATGCATTATGTCATTTGGCTTCTTGACTGCTGCTTTCATGGGTGTTGATTGTGGATCCAAGTAAAATGAAATCCTTGACAACTTCAGCATTTTCCCCATTAAATATTTAAATATTAAAAACTTAATATAGATTTCCCCAAAGCATTAATTCTGTTTTCATGTTTTAAAGGTAATCTTTGATGGGGAAGAGGCAGTGGATGCTGGTGGTGTTACAAAAGAGTTCTTTCTTTTACTATTAAAAGAGCTTTTGAATCCCATCTATGGAATGTTTACCTATTATCAGGATTCTAATCTCTTGTGGTTTTCAGATACGGTAAGTTAGTGATGTCACAATTAAAGAAAATAATCTTTATTTTTGTTGTCAGAACAATCCTGACTTCAGACTTCACAGAGGGAAGAATAACAAAGATAATACTTTAAAATGTCTAAATACTGTACCCAGTCTGCGATTTTTACTTCTTGCTGAGACCTATAGTGCATATTATCTGCTGTCAGCTCCACATCCATTTCTAGTAGTAAGATCCAGGTCATGTTATCTTTGAAAAGGTGAAAAGAACAGTGTGGTAAAGAAATTGATTTTATGACACATGGAAGGATAGTAGTTAAATATGTCTTATTTTTATAGTAATGATATTGTACACACATATGTACATAATTTATTTTTTAAAATTCAGTAGTAAAGCTAAGGCTTTAAAAGTGTTCTAATTTCAAACAGATTATAATGTAGTTCTTTTTCTATCAGAATGTTCTCCATAGGTCTGTATTATTCCAGTAGGTAGCAACTAGCCATATGTGGCTATTTAAATTCAAATTAATTAAGATTAAACATTAAAATTTATTTCTTTGTTCATACTAGCCATATTTCAAATGCTCATTAGACATGTGAAGCTGGGACAGCCTAGACAAGAACATTGTCCATGTTTTATTGGACACCACTGTTCTAGACAATTATAAACTGTTCTCTGTATCCTGAGATGAGCTATAAATGCTAAATGTTCTCTACATTGCATCTTTTGAGGGTCATTGAACTTTTGGCAGGGGTGTTTCTCTGCTTCAGGTGGTAACTAAATATTAAGCAGATAATCGTTCTTTCGTATTGAAAATATGTTGAGGTAAATTGTATTTTGAAGGCACCAAACACAGTATTTCTTTTTAACACATTTGCATGCATTCTAAAAAGTGTTTTGTAGAGCACAACTGGTTTCACCTGATTGGCATAATCTGTGGACTAGCTATCTACAACTCCACTGTGGTTGATCTCCACTTCCCATTGGCTCTCTACAAGAAATTACTGAATGTAAAGCCTTGTTTGGAAGACTTAAAGGAGCTGTCACCCACTGAAGGAAGGTATAAAGCCAAAAGATAGGCAGATTGGTGTGGGAAGCTATTCTGGCTGCCTCAGCACCGGGATTAAAGCTGGAAGTATCATGTGTACAAGTTTGAATATATTGAACCGGTATGGTTAGACTCTGTTGTATATAATTTGTGTAAGATAAAGTTACATAGTTGCTTGCCTGAAGCATTGCATATGTTACCATAAGGGCAGAAGGAAAAAAAAGTTAAAAAAAAAGATCATTGCTCAAAGCTTTTATAGAAAAATCTTGATCAAAAGGAGATAAAACACAAAACAGAATTTCATATTCTCAGTGGAATTCAGACTTTGTGGACTTCTTTAGGCTGGGTGAGCCCCCAAAAGTATTGACCTGAGATATTCTTTGAACTTTAAACCTTAAACCAAGGCTGTTCCCTGAATGTTTTAATTAGTAAAATATGTCTGCTTTGAGCATTACACACTTTTAAATAATTATCTATGTGAGGTCAAATTGAGGTTGGATGGGAAGCTTAAGAGGCAGTAAGTTTAATGTTGAGAAGAATGGGGGGAATGGCGGCATATACTTGAAGAATGAAACCAGTGTCACTGAATTTACATGTAGAAATGGTTGAAATAGAGAGATCATAGCTACCCAGGAATACATAATAACCCCCACTTTACTTATCCTGAGCAAAAAATAAGGACTTTAGGACTTTACATGGTCCAAAATACAGGCAGAAAGAGTATTGAAAAACAAACCATGTTAGGTTTTTAACAGCTTTTTTGAGATATAATTTACATACCATACCAATTACCAATCTAAAGCAATTCAGTGACTTTTAATGTATTCACAGAGTGGTGCAACCATCACTGCAGTCAATTTTAGAATATTTTCATCATTCTGAAAAGAATCCCTCCACCTGTTACTTAATTCCTTTGGGGATATATAGGAGTAGAATTGCTAAGTCTATGGTAACCTTGTTGGGCTTTTTTGAAGAACTGCCAGACTATTTTCCAAAGCAGTGGAGCCATGTTTGTATGTTATTCTCTTGTTGGCTCTCAAAACCTCTTTATTCTTAAGTTTCTGTGTATTGATTTTGGGTAAAATAAGATCAAGTATATAAAAAGATACCATATCCTTGGCTTTCTGTACACAGTATAACCATTTTGGCTTCCACAAGAAAGAACACTCCATTTTTATGGAAAAAAAGATATCAGTATTAAAATGGAGTAGAAGAGGGCTAGTCTTGCATGTATCCACAAGGAATTACACTATCACACCTCCAGTATGGGATACCAGTGCCGAGAACCACAAAAGGGTGGGAGAGAGGGAGCACAGAGGGAAGAGAGAATGTAGAGGGAACATAAAAAAAATGGCAGAATAGACAGGAATAACTTCTTACAACTGAAAGAGAGAGAGAGAACAACAGGAGTCTGTGATACTTCTTTGCCAGCCTGGCCAAGAGTTATATATTTTTTTAAGTAGTGATTTTGGCTGGTTAACTGATACTAAAAAAAAAAAAAAAAACAACTGACTGCCATTGAGTCAGTTCCTATTTATATGGGCAATCCTACTTCCGTAGTGATACTGCCTCGGAAACCCAAGGAGGGGTCGCTATGAGTCAGGGCTGACTCGACGGCACATAACAACAACAACAACAACATAGGACAGAGTAGAAGTGCCCCATAGGGTTTCCAGGGCTGTAAATCTGTAAATTGTTTTTTTTTTACTCTTTTCTATTGTGATTTGGGTGAAAATTTACAGAGCAAATTCACTTTCCATACAGCAGTTGACATACACTTTGTTTCATCACATTGACTACAATTTCCCACAGTGCAGCAACTCTCCTCCTACTTCCTCCCAATAGTTACCTCTTCCCTGTGTCCATCCCTCCATACACTCCTGTGCCCTGAGCTGTCTCCCCATGTATAGACAGCCCTTCTTTCTCCCATGATTGTTCTCTCCAAGGAGTGTATTTGCCTAATGTAAATGTTTAGCTCATATGCCTGTCTTTTGTTTGCCTGGAAGCCATAGGAGTGGGTTCATTTCCAGACCTGAAGGGCAGCTAGTGGCCATAGTCTCAGGGCTTGCATCAGGCTCTATCAGACCAACAAACCTGGTCCCTTTTTTTTTTTTTTTAATGATTTTGAGTTTTGTTCCACATTGTTCTCCAACTCTATCAAGGATTTCCTACATAGATCCTCCTCTGAGTGGTTGACTCGGAAGCCAGGCACCATCTAGTTCTTCTGGTCTCGTGGTCATATGGGCTGAGGATCGCGTGGTGTACCAGTCACTTGGACTGATTGTTTCCATGGATCTTTGGTTTTCTTCATTCTTCTTTGCTCTAGACAAGGAGAGACTCATCATTGCATCTAGATGGCTGTTTGCAAGCTTTTAAGATCCTAGTCGCTACATGCCAAAGTAGGAGATGGAACAATGTTTTGTGTAGTATGTTATGCCATTTGCTCTTGATGTCCCCTGTGACTATGGTGCCGAGCCCACAAGTCCAACTACTCACTTCCTCTGGGTAGCTGGCTGTGGCTAAGAAGTGACTACAACCTTGCCCCTTGTCAGCTCTACTATACACCTGGGAATTCTTACAGAACATACCAATACACTTGAAGAAACATTGTCTGCCAACCCTACACATGGTCTTGAGCACACTCCCTGCTGCATAGACATACCTAATCGTTCAACTTGTCCAGCCATCTATCCACCCATATATCCATGTTTGCTTTCACTGACAATGCAGTACTGTATGTGCAAAAGGGTTCATCTTTGTTGTCTGCACCTTCCATGCACCTCTCTGTGTCTTCTTCTTCCTCAGTGCCACTGTGTTGATCACTCACATTTGGTACATTGTCCTTCTCTTCACCCAAATCAGTACTTGCCTCTACCTATGTTCCCTCCCCTCCCTTCCCACCCCTGGTAACCAACAAAGAAAATTTCCTTCCATATCTAAACCTTTCCTTGACTTTTTGCAATGATGGACTAATACAATATTTGTCTTTCTGTGATTGACTTATTTCACTCAGCATATCCTGCAAGTTCATCCAAGTTATGCAATTGCTAAAAAGGCAAGGAGGCCACATCTTCCAACCTACTCTAACCCAAGAGGAAGACAGTCACTATCAGTAACCCAAGGCCTATTCCTGCAAGGCCAGACATGCTGCCTCCCTCCAGCCCTTTTACCAACCATTCTTCCTAAAGCACCCACCACCTCTCTCCTGTGTTTGATAATTTGCTACAGTGGCCACACAGAACTCACAGATTATGGGGTTTATTAGGGAAGCACTTTATTACAATCCAAGTTCAGGAAAAATGCTCAGTCTCTCTCCGCCCGCCATCTCTCACCCAGCAGTCTCTCAGAGTCTCTCTCCCAACAGTTTATGTCCCTTGGTGTCTCTCTCAGCAATGTGTGTCTCTTGCGTCTCCTTCCCAGCAGCACATGTCTCTTTCAGCAGCGCATTTCTTCTCAGCAGTACATCCTTCTCACCCAGTAGTCAGAGAGAGTTCTGCCTCCAAGAGGCCTCCTTTTGAGCCCAGCAGAGTGGCCAAACTAGCCAATCATAACATGAGAATTCTAAGCACCTGAGAGAGAGTGGGAACCTCCCAGAACATTGCTTTGTGTTGTGCCCAACAGAAATACCCCAATGGATAACTTTTACAATCAGGAGCTCCTCAGTTGCTCACAGCACATTCTACCATGGCGTTTACAAAGACTTATGGCTAGAAAAGCCATACCAGGCAATTTACTACAATTGTTTGCAGATAGCAATTAGAATAGCAATGTTTTGCAGATTCTGTGTTACTCTTTAGGGTTGCATAGTATTCCATTGTGTGTATGTACCATAGTTTGATTATCTGTTCTTCAGTTGATAGGCACCTAGGTTGTTTCCATCTTTTGGCTATTGTAAATAGTGCTGCGATGAACACAGGTGTGCATATATCTGTTCTTGTCCTAGCTCTCACTTCTTTAGGATATATACCTGGTAATGGGATTGCTGGGTCAAATGGTATTGCTAATTCCAACTTTTTGAGGAATCACCATACCGCTTTCCACAGTGATTGTATCATTTGACAGTCCCACCAGTACTACATGAGAGTTCCAGTCTCTCCACATCCTTGCCAGCATTTGTTATTTTCTTTCTTGTTGAACTTTGCTACTAGTGGTGGGGCAAGATGGTATCTCATTGTTTTGACTTGCATCTCTCTAATGGCTAATGATCGTGAGCATTTCTTCATATCTACGTCCTATTTTTGTTAGTAGCAGCTGGAGTAAAGTTTGTTAGTGGCCATCTGAGGTGCAATTATTGGTTTTTCCCCATTTGGAGCAAAGAAAAGTGAAGAAAGTAAAAAAAAAAAAAATGGGAAAAATGAGTCTGCGTGACTAATGGACTACTCAAACACCCAGCCTCCATGAGCCTGAGACCAGAACTATTAGATAGATGGTACCCAGCTACTATTGCCAATGCTACTTGCTCTGGAAGGGATCACAGTAGAAGATCCTGGATAGAGTGGGAGAAAAATGTAGAACAAAACTAACAATCATTAAAAAAAAAAAAGATGACCAGGCTTGCTGATCTTATAGAAACTGGTGGAACCACAAAACTAAGGCCCTTAGTTACCCTTCAGGGCTAGAGCTGAACTCATCCCCATGGCTCAGCTTTCAGCCAAACAATACACAGACCAATTTGATGAGGGATAAAGCTCAGAATGTAGGGAGGAACCAGAAAGAAGGACAAAGGAAAATGGTAACCACATGGAGGAAGTGGGCAGAGTGCTGTTACATTGTGGGATTGCAATCAGTGTCACAAAAGAGACTGCGTATGAATTGTTGAATGGAAAAACAATTTGCTCTGTAAATTTTCACCCAAATCACAATTAAAAGTTAAAAATAAATAACAGTAATGTATTGTTTTGAGAGCTAGGCCATGATTGTTATTGGTTAAACACATTCCTCTTTTAAGAATACATTTTCCACTGCTCTTTAGTGTGACAGCCCATACAGAACCCCTTGCGTTAAAAAGTTAGGCGTTAAAATCTCTAAGTGGATGAGGCGACTTTGTAGCTTTTTTATGATGGAAAAATTATTCAGCTAATGCATATGGATGAAGCTAGTCTATAGTAACACCTCTTCATATATCTATTTCCAAGCAATACTAGGATTAAGAGAACACAGATATTCACATATAAGTCCATCTTCAATTTTTTTTATAAATCAAGTAGGATTTGTAAGTAGGAACAGGGAACAATTAATGGGTTTCTTATAAGTCTACTGCTGTAATTCTTTTCGGTGTGTAGGTACTTGGTTTTTTGTCAGCCTGGATTTATGTTTATTCTAGAATCTTCTTTTATAGATTTTTTTCTTGTAAACAATCTGGACATGTAACTGAAGAAGAACATTATTGCAATGTCTGATTTGCCTCTTTTTCTTTTTTGGTGGTTCTATGATTAGAAGTCTTCAAGAGCTTTTAGATTACCCCGGGGAAGATGTTGAGGAGACTTTCTGCCTCAACTTCACGGTAAGGATTACCACAGTTTACTTATTATGATTGTGGCCTTCTTTTTATGCTTACAAATCATGCTTAGCATTAGTTCTTCTCCAAATTAAAGAACAAATTCAGGGACTTCTCTGAATCAAACTATTTTCATCATAGTGTCTTGAGTGTTATAGGAGTTCAGAAACATGTTGAATGAATAAATAAATAATTAAGCTATACACTTAAGAAAATTACTGCATCATCAATTCTCTTTACCCCTGTTACATAGACATATATTAATACCAAAGTAATCAAAATTGAAAACAAATCAAAATCTTTTCTCCTTGATTGCACTTATTGGCAACTCTGTGTCTTAAAACAAAAGCTGTCTTTTTGGTGCATGTATGTTCTGACTCAGTTCTCTCTCTAATCTCAAGAATTTTCTGTGATAATATTCAGTCATTAAACTACACTTGTTCCTAAATCTTCTCTCATTCTGTTGAAGCACAAATGCTAAACAAGATTAAAATATTTCTTTTTTCCCCTTCATAGATCTGTCGAGAAAGCTATGGTGTGATTGAACAGAAGAAGCTGATACCTGGGGGAGAAAAAGTGACGGTGTGTAAGGATAACAGGTCAGTCTAGACTTTGGGCTGTTGCAGATGTCACCAGTTCCTTGCTTCTTTGCAGCTTTTCTTTTAAGACCAAGATTGAAATGAATTTTAATCTCACTTGTAGAGAAAATAAAGGCGATAGAACAAAAATTTTCAGATTTTAACGAATTTTATAGTAGAGTAAGCACTGCACCGGGATTTAGGAGATGACTGTCTTAGTCCTAGATCTATACCGAACTAGCTTTGATACAGAACATAATGTAAACTGTTTGATCTCAGTTTCCTCATCTGTAAAATGGAAATAATTATAGCTGCCCTGTCTATCTCATGAGGTGGCTAGAAGAATAAAGTGTAATAATTTATAGGAAAACATTTTTGAATCTAGTAACTAGAAGAGTACCTGACACAAAAATGATGAAGTATGTGTAGAATACAAATGATTGTCATAAATATGCTTACTATTTACTATAATTTTACTGCTGAAGAATTTATAATATAGGTTTCAAATTAAATTATTCTCTGCTTCATGAAAATGCAGGTACATCTAATTTTTCAGAACAATTCATGATATTTCTATTATGTCTTTGGAAAAGAGAAAAATCCCAACTTTGATTACTTTTGTATTAAATTACCAATGAGATTGCTGGTAATTTGTATGTTAATGAATTCGTTTACCAATACTGAACGCCTACTGTGTGCTAGGCATGTTGCTGGGTATAGGCAACGAATAGCCTCTGTCCTCGAAAAGCTCAAGATTAGATGGGAAATACCAGTATAAATGAATGATTGCAGTGGATGGTGGTGAGGATAAGCGAGTTATAGGCCAAACATCACAGAACCAGGGGAAAAACTTCTTGTTGTTAGGTGCTGTCGAGTCATCTCTAACTCATAGAGACCCTGTGCACAGCCGAACAAAACATGGCCCAGTCCTGTGCCAGCCTAACAATCTGCTATACCTGAGTCCATCATTGTAGCCACTGTGTCAGTTGACTAGAACACTATTATTGGACATTGAAGAATGCAAGTGGAGGAAAAACATTTTAGGCACAGGGAATAATGAGTCAAGACTGTCAGATAATGATGAGTATCTGTGGGGTAGGTGTTGGGGTATGGATGGAGGTTGGGTTTCATAGCATAGAAGTTGTCAAGAACTTGAATGGAACTTAGATGGGGACATGGCTGATAATTTTGGAAATAGACTTACGCGCAGGAAGATCCTTTACGAGGCTCGGATTAAGAGTGCTAAGGGCCACAATGGAGATAGTGGGAACAGACTTGTCTGTGTGTTAATTATGTAATCAGCAGGAGCTAGTGTCTGATTATACATGGATGGTATGAGAGAGCCAAATATTGATGGACAGCTGACTGAGAGGAAACAGTCTGTAGAGGAGGTTTGAAGGAAAAGGAATTCCATTTTGGGTAAGTTGATTTGTCTGTGTGATACCCAGCCAATTGTGTTTTGAGTTGGAGATTTACATGTGTCTGGAGAGAAGCCTTTATATGAGCATTTTGCTTGTTTAATTACTTATGTAAACCTCAGTCACTAGTGAATTTGAGACAACAATTTGAGAAGGCAGTGGTGAAATAAAAAAAAAAAAGTAGGACAGGGAAAATGTACATTCTGAGAGGAGGTATATACATTTATGTATATAAAAGACTCTCGACATGAAGATTTGGCAATCATTAGCATATAGGCTAGAGTTAGACATTCTTAAAGAATGAGGTTGTAGTAGGTGGTTAGAATGTGGGGGAAAGATGAGAGAATGAGCAGTCTCTACTTGAAAGCAAAGTTTAAAGTGTAGAAAAAGTTACAGATATAGAGAAGTTCGGTGCTGCTTGTCAGGATGTTGGGAAATTAAACTAATTCACTTTGGGCTTTAATTGGATCAAGGACACAAACAGAGATTTTGGAAAATATTACAGATAGAATAATTAACAGACCTGCTCTTCCATCCTTTCACATTTTAAATGATGGCAGTGTGGTCTAATGCAGCACTCAGTAATTTTCTGTCATGTCCACCAACCAGACTCTTCAGCAAGTTCTTGGGTTTAGGGAAAGTATGAGCTACAGTGCCAGAGTTCAGTGAAATGTTGCAGAAGCACTGAACATCTAAGTAAAACGACTTCATGTGATAAAGTTATCTTGGCTGTTGTTGTTGTTGTTAAGTGCCGTCGAGTCGTTTCCGACTCATAGC